CATAGGATACAGGATTTATTTGTTGTTGTTCCTTCCTCAGTAGAGTATGACTGAATATGGGACCTAGTCTCCATATTCAATCCTTAGCCATTCTTAGGCAGGGAGACCTGCATTTCCTTCCTTCTTCCTTATGCATCAAACTCTCATTTAATCTCTCAGCAACACAGAAAACTACCGGAAAAAATTCCCTTTGGCTTGCTGAAATGGTAAAGTGTATATCATAAATGAAAGAAATTTTAGATCAAAGGCAATCTGCCCTAAAGTGCTAATTGGACTAGATTGAGCCAAATGGTAGTTCAACACAAATAAGCTGAATGGAAACAACAAGCATGAATTTAAAGGTTAAGAAGAAAATGAGAATCCTCTTCCCTTTTTGCCAATTGAGAACATGCTCTCAAGTGCACATAATACTGAAAAAGGTTTTGTCAAGTCCCAGTCCAAGAGAATCCTGCTGACATCCATGGCAGCCTGGCTTGCAGGAGACAGCTTGACATCTTAGTTAGTAGTAAAGAAACTCTATACCTTGTCAAAATGACACTAGGGTATCTGCAGTTAAACTTGAAAGCTAGTCTCTCACACTTCTCTGCAAGTATCCTTATACTCTTTCTAATCAATGTGGCCATGACAAAATGGAAATGTTCAGCCTAATCAAGCTGTGTCAGGATAAAAAAGCCATTTGCTATCCCATGAAACCTTCCTATTACTTCTGCTAAGCTCTTGTCTCATAGCATCGTTTTGCTTGAACTCTCTTAGAGGGAAAGAAAGTCTAGAGCTGTGTCTGTCCTAGATTTCAAGAAGCTAGAGAATAAAGGAGTGAACCATGGAGAATTTGGTGTCCAAACCAAATGCCTGTGCAAAATAGTGAAAATGTGGTTAGTAATTAGAGAAAACATTGATTCAGGATAATATAATTACAAGTCTAATGCTATAGCTTAGACAAGATCTGTCCTTGAGAGGTTCACATGCTAAACTTTTAGCCTCAGTGTGGCCATTTCCAGAGGTAATGTGTAACCTTTAAAGGGTGACACCTAGTGGAATGTGACTTGGCCACTGAGGTACCACCCTGTGAAGGAATTAATTTAGGTGTATGGAGTTGAATTAGTTGTAAGAAAATTAAAGCCCAAAACCTCCCCCGAGCCTTTCTTTTGCACATATTCAAGCTACTATGATGCCATGCACAATGACATCCTTACCAGAGCCAATCAGATAGTGGTGCCATGGTCCCTGGACCCTTTAGAAGTACAAAGCTGATCAATGTCCTTATGCAGAACCCACCCTCACGGATTTTGTTGCAGAACACAAAACAGAAAACACCTCATTTAGTCAATTTACCAAGGCTTCTGATTGCCTCCAATTCATTTTCCACTCTGAAGACAAAGCAGAGACATCTAAAATGCAAACTTACTCAGGGCAACTTTTGTTTAAAGTGCTGTTTCTGCTCATTTTGAGAAGTCCCTCGTAGCCCAGGCTAACAAGGCCGATCTCAAGCCTCTACTTCCGGAATGCTGGAATTACAGGCCTGTGGTTTAAAATTCTTTAATGGTTTTCCACTGACTTCAGGATAGTGTAAATACCCTAAGAAGACTTCTAAGGCCAGTGCTTTTTATCTTCTACTATCCCTTGTCTAAGGCTTTTACATAAGACCTTTTAGTTATTCATTCTTCTTTCCTTCTTTTGCCTCCCCCTTTATTTTCCTTCTTTCTTTACTTTTTTGGGGGGGAGGGGGAATAGACAATGGTTTAATCCTTTCCTCAAGCAGCCTGGACTTCCCTTATCATAGGGTTCCCTCCATACCGCTGCTTTACAAGCTCGCCTCTTCTGTCTAGACTCTAAATGCACAAAGTAGGTACCATGTCTGCCTTAGTCACCATCATGTGTGTAACAGTGTGTAGCACAAGTGCCTGTGCTACAGCAGGGTCACAAACATACGTTTTTTAATGTTTGTTTTTTATTTTTATATGTAAGTGATTGTATGAATTTGTGTGTATCCCATGTGAACAGGACCCTACAAAGGCTATAAGAGTCCTTTAGATCCCCTAAAATTAGAGTTACAGACAGTTGTGAGCTTCCATACGGAAACAGTTATTTCTCTTAACTGCTATTTCCTCAGCTTCCACAGATATATTTTAAAGGAATAGAAAACAAACAAACAAACAGGAAGGAGCTAGGGAGGGAAGAAACCATAACACAGAACAAGCCTTTTCCGGAAAATGTTTTAAGGTAGACTCAGGTTCTGTTGGTTTAAAGCATGATGATTCTAGCTTGAACCATAGCAAACCAGAGCTAGTTATTTCTCTGTAGCTCTAAAGTGGAAGCTGAGAAATCCAGTTCTTAAGAGAAGGAAGTAACAAAAGATTCAGATACAGGACATCATTTGGAACATCTTAAGAAAGGGGTTCAACAGTGGCAGGTATGGGTTACTTCCTGTTATCAGTGGAGTTCCATAGACTCTCTCAAAACATTACAGGCTACTACCATTGTTCTTGGTTACTCTCCAAAATTTGGTGGTAAGACCTTATTTTTGAAAATACCACATATGTGAGTCAGTAGACATGGAAAATTTAAGCTGGCACTAACCTAGAAGCTTCATCTCTAGTGGCCTGCTTTCACAGTAGTGGAAGATACCATGCAGGTGCTGGGGGTGGAGGTGGGAATTGAGGTCAATTTCCTCAATAATCTAACTCAGCTGTAAACCTGGCAAAATATGCCCATGGGGAAGAGTGGGACCAATGCTCTGGGAGCAACTGTGCACGTTCCTGGTTGGATTTAAGGCCCAATCCACAAAATGGGACAGTTGCCTGCTACTGTTAACTGGACCAAGAATCCACAGGTGGATAGGCCATAAGCCCTAGGGGAGAACCTACTATTATTCCGCTTAACAAACATTGTTTTAAACTGCTCCCTAATTACTTATCTTTATAGCCATAAATTAGTACATTTTCAACCCTCATCAGAGAAGCTTCTTTTTGCAGTAAATGATGATTAACACAGAGACTTACAATTGATCAATATGCAGACTAAGATACCATAGACTGCTCAGGCCTAAATGGAACATCCATATTATACACCCTCCTTTGCAAAATCCTCAGGGGATCACTAGAGAAGAGGGTGGAAAGACTGTAGGAGCCAGAGTTAGTGGAGGGCTACTGCACAATAGTGTTTCAGGACAGGTTACTACACACATGAACTCACAGTGCCTGTGACTGTATGCACAAGGCCTGCATGAAATTAAGCCAGCCAAAATCCCAGAATGGATGAGGGAGAGGCACACAAAGTCCCACCCTTAGGTGAGGACCTATTGGCAACTGATGGCTGTAGGAGGAAGAAAAACATCAATTTTCTTCAGGGTTGTGACTTTTGATAAGCTGCCCACATTCCATTGGATGGCCCGACACCCATGCACATACTAGCAGCACTAAATGGACTCGGTGGGTTTAAAAGGAACACAAGGAGTTGGAAGGTAAAAGTGATTGAAGGGACATGCAAAAAGTTGGAGAGGAGAAAGTAGGGGTAGATTTATCAAAACACATTATATTCATGTATGAAATTCTCAAAACATTTAAAGTGGGGGAGGATTCAAAATGTGGTAATCAGCATTAACTGCCAATTTGACAGGATTAAGTTTACTTATTAAACAAACCTCCACATACACTTGGGAGAGATCATCAAGGTTAGACTGGCTTCTGAGCATGGCTGCAGGGAATTATCTTGATTAGGTTAACTGCAGTGAGAAGGCCTTCCCACTCTGAGTGGAACCATTCCCTAGGTGGGATCTTGGACAATATAAAAATGAAAGGGTGGGGTGAGCACAAGCATTTGCTGCTCTTTTCTTCTGTTGCAGTTGCAATGTGACCAGCTGCTGCATGGTCCTGTTGCCTTGACTTCTCAACCATAATCGACTGTGCCTCGAACCGTGAGCCAAATAAACATTTCTCTCTTAAATGCTTTTGTCAGGGTTATAGGAAAACAAAAAATAAAACCTGAAACAGGAGGAAAAAGGAATGATATTCATTGGGCAGAAATAAAACCAGAGTTAAAAACTGGCTCCATGGGCAATCTTGGACAGTTTGTTTAGGTTCCTTTAAGAAGGAACTGAGCCACATTAGTGAATCTTACACTGAGTTCTGAGGAACTTGGTCTCTGGTCTCTGGCAGAAGCTACTGGGATGAAGACAGTGGTTCCCCAGGCAATACAGCCTTAACTCCACATAATAAAAATGCTTTATACTCATTTAGGTTCTACTTACAATGCCTTAGAAAGACAGTACTGAGGTTACAATAAAGTTCAAATAGCAGAGACCCAGACACCCTTTCTGGTATCTCCCATCTTAAGTCCTTTAGTCTCCATGACAAATGGGGCCTGTCTGGACATTACAGTTTGCTTGATGGCACAGCTGCAGCATTTCCTACAGTATTTTCTCACTGTTCAAGCAGATGGAGAAGAAAGAGAGCAAAGTCAAGACCAAGTTTACTATCAGACTGAGACAATAGTAAATGCTCTGTTAAATTTCTTTCAACTGTTGACACAGAAAAGTACAAAGGCCTTTCCCTCCCTTAAACAATGTTTTTATACTTATAACCTAGTATTCACTTTGACATTCATTGTGACAGAAATAATGCCATCTACAGCACATTCACAAAACCCAATTTATATCAAAAAAGGACAATGAAGCTTAGTAGTTCCACCTGATAGTCCAATTATCATTCAAATACAGAGCCTGCTCTTCTAAACAAGGGACTCTGAATGTGCTAAAGAACAAAGCAAAGTCTCTGTCATGATATACTTTCAAGTCTACCTTTATCTGAAGTTTACAGGCAGAAAATGACACAGATGGGGAAGGAGACAGGAGTCCTACAGAATAAAGGCCTCACAGCCCTGGATTAAGACAGATACTCCTTTTCTCTGCTGTCCCTTGCTTATCTATATTTCAGGAAGCATTAGAAGGTCACAAATGTCATTCCACTTCTGAGAATAGACAAGCAGCAAAAATATAATCTTACCTAGGTCCTTCTTCATCACCCTGGAAAACAAAGAAGAAACAGTGTTAGAAATCATAGTTGGTAAAATGATTTACTGGTTTAGATTTCTTTAATTTTCCTCTCTGTGCCCAAACCAAAAGCAAGGTTGTGTATTTATTTTAACAAAGACAAATCAGAAGATGTCTAAGAGCTAAGACAAGGACTAATATATCCCTATGTTCAAACTGCCCAGCAGAGATGGACTGATAATTTGCCCTTGCCAGCATGGAATGTGAACACACAGACCTAGGAGGTCTAAATAATAGCCTTGCTTTTTTTATTTCTATAGCTAGCACTATTTAGTTCTGAGCAAAGCAAGAACCCCAAAATAGCAGCAGGTCTTGGGTAAAGCTGACCAGCTCCAAAAGTATCAAGCTGTTTTCTTAAAAAAAAAAAAAAAAAAAAAAAAAAAAAAAAAAAAAAAAGACAGTGTTTCTAATACACAGCATATTGAGGTGGGAAGATTTCTAAATTAGGACTCAGAAAGTAGAGATTCTTCTCGAAGTCCTGAGACTTAGAAGAATGTGCCACCAGGACATGCTAATTGGTTAAGTGACCCTTGGGTCCCCCTTGAAAAATGGGTAGTTTGAGCACTGGTAATCTACCTCATTCATTACCCAAACAATACTTTTCCTCTTTTTCTTATTCATTCTGCACAAATGTGCATTATTTTTCTCAGTGTTTTATTTTCTTGGCCTAACTTTCTCAGTAACCATCACAGCAGCTTATCTGGGATTTCCCTCTATAACAAAATGAGAGCTTTCAAATGACTTTGGCCTGGTGGTTAGTCCAGGATTCTCCTGGACTAACAATAATAATAATTTAATTCCAGCACTCAGGAGGTAGAGGCAGGTGGATCTCTGTGAGTTTGAGACCAGCCTGGTCTATAAGAGCTAGTTCCAGGACAGCCTCCAAAGCCACAGAGAAACCCTGTCTCAGAAAAAAACAAAACAAAACAAAAACAACAAAAACCTTTGAAGCCATTCCAATGACAGTTTGGCGACAAAGTACCTTTCACACTCCCCTCTTCAGTCATTTAGGGTTAACCAGTGGAGAACATACCTTCTGGCTATATGCCCTCAGAGAATCAATGAATAAATGATTCCAACTTGTATAAGCTGGAACCAGACATGCTGGGTTCAAACCTTGGCTCTATCACTTATTTGCTGTGTTACTTTAGTCAAGTTATTCTGCCCCTTTCAACTTCAACTTCCTAGTTTATAAAGTAATAAAATAATAGGATCAATATGAGGATTAAATAATGCTCATAATTGCTAGTGCCTGAGAGGAAAGTTAATAAAGGTTATGTTTAATATCAGTAGTAATTCAGTATGGATCATTAAAACAGTGTGTAAGTGCTAAGGATAATGATCTAACCTTCTATGAGTTCTCAACACAAGGAGCTCACACACAGAAAATAAACTAAGCATGTTAAGGACTCTATCGAAGGCATAAACAGAATGACCTCAGAGACAAAAAGAAAGAGACGGTGACAATATACATTGATACCTGGGATAAGCAGGATTCTCCTGGACTAACAATAATAAAAAGTGGGAAGAAGACTGGGCTAACAAGAGAAAAGTCATGACAGTTTAATTAATATAGACACGATAGATAGACAAGTAGGAAGAACACTGGAATAACAAAAGCAAAAACATGATAATGTAACTGATACATAGATGATAAGACAGATGAAGGGAAAGGGGGGAGAGAGGGACAGAATTTGGGGTCTGTGGAACTAGAAAATGATGATGTACCCATGTATTTTGGGCTGTGTAGGAGTGGGGCTAAAGCCAGTGTGGGGTTAAGAGTGCAAGTGGGATAAAGACAGATTACCAGAGATTAGGCCTGTAAAGGAAGCACCAGCAAGGAAAGTGATTTAATCATTCTTTGTGCTGGAGATTAAAAAGAAAGGCATTTTAGCAGACTACACAGTGTTTGAATAGTGTAAGGGCACTAATCATTTGTATTTCAGTGAGAGAGAAGGGGGCAAAGTGGTGAAAGGATGATATAGGGGTAGTAGAGGATTTCTTTGCATTTAGATCAACTTACACATCTCAAGAGTACTATAATACAGCAAGGAAAGTCATATAATTTAAATTTCATGAATTATATAACTATCAATGACACAATTAAACTTCAAGACAATTTTTCAATTATCTTTGTCTATTTAAACATAACTACCCAAGAGAACCTTGTAGGAAAGTACATATAAATGCTCTCCCATGACTAAAGTAAGTTCTCTCTCTTCACAGTCACACATATCTTGTTTACAATGGCTATGAAATGGGATTTGTGTATGGTTTTCATGGTACACCTCTCAGTTCTAGCACTTGTGAGGCTGAGGAAGAAGGGTGGTGAATTAGAATCCAACTTGTATAGGAAGGCTTGTATGAGACTGAGTAGGATTCTGAGTTATAAAAACAATCTCACATCAATTCCAACATTAAGAAGTTTGGTAATTAACTTTTCCAGATTCAGTTTTCTAATCAAGAATGTGATACAGTGTCCAATAATGGGACTGAGCTTATCCTGAATTACTAACTAATATTGTTTATCAGGGAACAGGAGAGGAAAGAAAAGGCAATTTTGTTGTATTTCCACCTTTTCCAGAAACAACAGGTACTACTACAAAGTCCACAGAATGCCAGAATGAAAGTTTCACTGCTACAGGAATGCACAAATGGATGGAAACAACAAGCACATTTATAAAGTATAAATCTATTTAGACAACTTCACCAGATGACTGTGACTTCCTGGTAAAAGATGTGCACATGCTGGTTCTGCTATCCCAAATGTTCACCTCCATCCTGAAAGCCTTAATTCTAGGCAGTCCTTTAAGATCAGGCCTGATTCAGAAACTTCCTCACTGACAGCTCGGGAAAATCATGCTCTTTTCTAATCTCTGTGTCTGTAGAGTTCATTCTTCTCACCTAGCAGCTAAAGAAAACTGATGGTGATAGCATCCCATGGTGTTTCCCTCACTGGATTTCAACCATTTGAAAAAGAAACTGTTCATATCTAAGATGCATAAATATATAGTAAATAATTACTTAGCAATTCAGGCAAAGACCTAGCAGGATTTAAGACTAATTTCTATTGCCATTGTAAATTAATTCTGGTTATAAATGTTAGAAGTAACTTGTTAGATTAAGCAATATTCCCAAATCCCTCCTTCCAATACCGTGAGTGCTCTTGGAAGGCACAATGCACTGTAATGTGACCTTTCATTTTTACTTCCACTAGTGGAAATAAAGTTCATCAAGATTCAAGTTGAATCCCAAATCTGCTTATTCAGATAAACTTGCAACCATCATTACAAATTAAATAGCAAAAATGAATGTAAGACAGACAAACATTGTCCCCAAGAGTTGTTGTTTCCTGAGAATTTAAATGGTTCACAGCAATCATTAAAGATGGTAAAAATTAGTAACAATTTTAAGTATAGGGGGAACATGCAAAATACTACAAAAATTAAATTACAACAATGTCTAAGATCCTACATGTAACTTGCTTTGAATCATATCTCCTTCACTACGGAGTGACACTAGACATTTTAGTTAGACAAATAGTTTATTGTTGATTTCTCAGGGTGCCAGGAAGCAAACTCAGAACCTTAACATGCTATTGTAAACACTTCCGCTGAGCTATGTCCTAGTCTCAACTGAGCATTTAAAATGGTAGTGGATGTAGTTCATACTGAGAATATGACAGTCAACTTCAATTAGCAAACTCACATTATTCTAAAAACACCTGAACTCAAAGTAAAAAATAGTAGATTTTAAATTTCAAAATAAATGCTTAAGATATGTGCATTTTATTTTTAATAATTTCTCCACAGATACAACCTTTTCTAGGATTATCACATTGCAACTCAGAACTCTTTCAAAAATTGGACACAAGGATTGGGGAATATACACAGTTGACAGTGCATCTAGCATGTACAAGGCTCTGGATTCCACCCATTGCACTATATAAATTGAGCAAGGTGGTACATGTCTCAAACCTCAGCACTTGGGAAACAGAGGCAGGAGATAACTCAGAGGTTATCCTCAGTCACATGGCAAGTTTGAAGTCAGCAAGGATTACATAAGACCACATCTAAAACAACAACAACAAAACAACATATCCACTAGGCAGAATATGGAAATGTTCATGAATTACAGACAAAAATAAGCATATTAAGTATATATGTTTTTAAATTAGGATCATTTTTCATATACATATCAAGGGGGGAGCTAGGTAATACTGTAAAAATTCAGCAAAAACTAGCAGGAGTGTTAGCTAGATATTTCACTGACAAACTGGTTCCTGGAGTGAACACAGGCTCTCTACAAGTTCCCACATAACTGTACTGTGTCCTCCTGTTTTATCAAGTCCTTACTGAAATGAAAGGACACTGAGGCACAGAGGTTAAGGTCAGACTGCAGACTGAAAGGAGACACAGGAGTGCCCAGACATCCATTACTTCTTAAGCATATTATTCTGAATAATAAAAAATTTGGATAAAATATTTTTAATATTTAACTTTGATAAAGAGTAGAAACTCAGAAAACAGAGAAGGACCTTTGCTATTGTCCCATGGGCTCCTGAAGCTTTTATCAATTGTTTTTCAGTCTTTTGATAATAATGGATCACAATCAAATTGTCTTCAAATTCACCAATTCTCATGCTTCCAATTTGCAAAAGAACCCATCCAATGACTTCCTTGTCATGTCTCTATGTGCTTGTCTGTGTGATACTGGTCATGGAACCCAGGGTCTGTCTAACACATGCTAGGTAAGGGTTCTACCACTAAGCTTTGTCCATTTTCATATTTGTAAATTTTAAAATGCTCATTTGGTCTTTTTCTGCATCACTTGTTTCCCAGGTGTTTGTAAATATCCATTTTTATGATAGCTGTCCTTGTCTGATGATTCCAATACCTGCATCATCTTGGTGCTGTCATGTGCTTTTTTTCCCCTTACAGTTGGGATTTTACCAGTATAATGAGCAATTTTGGACTATATCCTGAAAAGATGAAATAGTATTAGAACAATCTGTTCCTATTTAAAACCTTCTATCTTAGCAGGTCACCAACCTGTTAAGTTCAGAATGAGTATAGACGGGATTACTTTGGTGGACTCTGCTTTAAATGTCAACTTAGTGTATATGCCTCTGCCTAGCATAGATGACAGGACTCCACTCTGGTTCCTACAGAGTTAGCTATGGTAAGGGAGAGGTGCCAGCTCATTACTACAGAGCAGAGTTTCCACACACTGATACAAAGGTAAGAGGAAATAGAGCTCTGTAAACAGTCTCCACAGGGAAGACAATTAGTACTTCCATATGGTCAGGAGCAAAGTTAGAGTTCCACCTACAGGTGCAAGTCAAATGATCCTCACTATTGAGAGGAGAAAGGCAAAAGCAGAAAAGTAAGGTTTTGCCTAAAAGTTCCATGGAGAAATAAAGATAACTTGTGGGCACTAAAGCAATGGCTCTGTGGATAAGAGGGCTAGCTGCTCTACCAGAGGTCCTGGGTTCAATTCCCAACACCCACACAGCAACTCACAACTGTTTGTAACTCCAGTTCCATGGGATCTGGCACCCTCACACAGACATACATGCAGGCAAAATGCCAATTCACATAAAATAAAAATAAATAAATTACATTAAAAAGAAAAGATGACTTATTACTGTAGGGGATCATAGATAACAGATATTCAGCCCACTAGCTCCACTGCAATAGTGCCAACTGGGACTGATGAGCAGTGAGCTCTTTCTTTCTGTATTTACTCTAGAATAGGCAAGTATGGTCAAAAAGTTTCTCTGTAACTACATAACACTTTTACAAGCTCTTTGGTTACAGACATTTGGGAATTTTCTTTTTGTCTGTGTCTGTTAGTGTTTCCAGTTTGCAAAACACCCAAGCTAGGAAATACAGGAAGAAAGGAAACCATGATAACTCTATGCATTGTAGATCTTTAAGTCTAGTACTGAATCTTTTCCCCTCTGTTAAATGACTTTCATTCAGGGATTACAGAATAGTAAAATGAAATCTGATCATGAGTCCAGTACAGAACTAGAAGCTCTGCTCTGTTTCTTCGCTTTCTTTTGTTAGATAGGCTCTCACATATCCCAGACTGGTCTCAAACTCCTTATTTAGCCAAAAATGATTTCAAGCTTTTGATCCTGTCTCCACCTACTGAATATTGTGTGTACTCCAAAACATCAGTTTTATATGGTGCTAGGACTTCATAAATGCTAGCAAAGTGCTTTATCAAGTGACATCTCTAGATCTGCCATTCTATTTTTAGCATTAAAAATAAAATGGATTGATAAGTGGAAGGTTGGAAAGATGAGTAGAAATATAGATAAGCAACAAGGGAGATGTCAATGAATTAGAATTTAATGATAGGTTATGAGTGTAATCCAGAAAATCCTTCCAATTTTGCTGTATATTTGCTTGAACATACTTATAAAAATGTTGAAAAAGAAACCTTTGACTAAATTCAAAATACACGTGTTTTTTCTTCTAATTCTGTATTATACAAAGGAAAGAAAAGAATTCCTCTGTGGAGTGAGAGGTAATGGATATTTCCTCTAACTAATAAATTACTGAATTAATTGGCATGAGATGCTATTAAAGACAAAAGCTCTTTGAAAATGCTCTACCTAACAGAAAGCTGCTTCTTCTTAATAGCTTCATTGTGTCCACACCTAGTCCAGTCTTTAAGCTTTGTCAGCTCTTGCAATCTAACAGTAAGTCTCTAAGTTGAAGTATTTAAAGAAGAGTTAATGTTAGGGAGAGACTAAATTCATTATTTAGAATAAAATGAAAATAAAAGAGATGGAACTAGTCATAAATGAAAGCTTTCTTTCTGAAAGTACAACTTAACACGAGGACTCAATTTGAAGGGAATATGAGATAGTACTGCTTTTGACCCTTCCAGTCAAAACCACTAACTCACATTAAAAAGTCTTAAGTGAATTCTCCTGATTTCTCCCATTAATACAAACAGGATACTTAGCATGCAACACATAGAAGAGGGAAAGCAAGCAGTAGAATAAGACAAACTTAATTCTAAATCTTGGTTCCATTTTCTACTTAAGACACACTAGATTAGTGTTTCTGTAGTTCTCTGAATCTCAATATAGCATCTGTAAATGGCAGCGACACAGACCTTAGAGCTAAAATGATAACTATAAAGTATTCTCTTGTATATCTAGAAACTTACTTAGACACATACTTTTCTAATTCTAGGACGGATAAAATGAAAACTAATCAAGAATCTTAGATGGGTAGAATGGTGTCTTACATGCCTACTGGACTGACCCAGACAAGACTTGAGTCTGGTATTATATATACCCTAACTCCTTCACTGGCCAGTATATTCTGTGACCTGGGTAAAATTGCCAGTTAATGCTGAACTCATTAACTCAGCAACAGTCCTGGAAAGCCAGCAGGACTGTCTCACAGTTTCTTATAGAACAAACTACTTCAACCTACCTGGCATGTGTTTGATCAGAAGCTTTATTCATCATTATGAAGTCCAATTGAACACTAACCTCTCTCTGAGATAGATGGTTGCCTTGGCTGACTTACCTACCTTTCCTATCTACCTTCCCTCCCTCCCTCCCTCCCTTCCTTCCTTCCTTCCTTCTTTATGTGTGTGTGCCTCAGTGTATGTAAGTGCAACATGTACATGCAGGAGCTTACAGGTCAGATGAAACTTTGGATCTTCTAGAACTGGAGTTACAGACAGTTGTGAACCACTATGTAGATGCTGGGAACCCAACCTGTGTCCCCAGTAAGAAGAGTAAATGATTTTAACTGCTGAGCTATCTTTTCAGATGTTCTTCCCCAACTTTTTAAACAGGGTATGTATATTCCTAGCTGGCTTAGAATTAGCTGTGTAGGGCTGGAGAGATGGCTCAGCGGTTAAGAGCACTGACTGTTCTTCCAGAGGTCCTGAGTTCAATTCCTGCAACCACATAGTGGCTCACAACCACCTTGAATGAGATCTGGTGCCCTCTGCTGGCATGCAGGCAGAAGGCTGTATACATAATAAATAAAATCTTTAAAAAAGAAAAGAAAAGAAAAGAAAAGAAAAGAAAAAGAATTAACTGTGTCGACCAAGGCTGCTCTCAAGCTCACAGAGCTCCAACTGCCTCTGCCTCCTAAATGCTGGAATTAAAGCTAGTTACCACCATTCCATACATACATACATACAAACATACATACAATGTCCAAATCCATTGTTTGAAATACTCCAAAACACTTATTCTGTTATGAAATGCATATAGCTGTAATACTGATTCACATCTACCTTGTGTCTTTTGTTCATGTTATTCTCTTTTCTTTTTACAATATGCTCTACTTTTTGTTTTGTTGTTTTCTTAAGAATTTGGTTTTTCTTTTTGAAATAGCATCTCACTATACAGGCTGAAGTGATCTTCTCTTCTCATCCTCCCAAGCAGCTGTGCCACAATGCACAATGCTACTCTTAATCTAGCAAATATACCTTCAATTTATATTGATGGATCTATAAAATGCCCAATGGGAAGCACCCCTTTACTATTCACAAAATCAAATCCACAATTGTTTACTCTGCACTGTTTTAGGCTTTACCTGGCTCATTCTAATTGAGTCTTGTTCTCATTTCTAAAAAACTTTTATCATTTCTATGTTCATTTCACAACTTGAGATGGGATGTGTGTGTCATTTGTCCTCTTCTCTAGTTTAGATTTCTAGCTTGTCTTCTTAACTATGATTAGTAGTTGCCCCCTGACTACACGCCTTTAAATTATGTTGGATAATACTTTGCCAGGCCAAAAAGCCAAGTACAGACCCCAGTAGCTAATACCTGCACTCTAGTGTCCATACTAGTTATAATCCTCCCCAAGTTTTCAGGTCATTATGCTTAGAGATCACAAGCAGGCATTTTCATAACTAACAAATACGGCAGTTATATAGTTGTCCTGCTAAAAACCACCAGCATTTTCATTTACCTCTGCCTTTGGCTCAGCTGATTCATTAGAGGTATCAAGTTGTTCCTTGGCCTGGGCCATCTGAGTCATCAACCTATCCATGTGAGATTGGATGTCCGCCAGTATCTCAGTCACATGAGCTGTGGCCATTGCTTCTTGGATGTCCACTAAATGAAGGGCCTTCTGCTCCTCATCAGCAATCACTTTCTGAACTTTCTTAAATTCTTGTTGTATGAATACCTTCATCTGGTCTCGAGTTACCTGTAGAACAGAGATACATAAGAAATGCAGATTGAAAATAAATTTCCTGGTAACTTTTTATTTTTAAGGAATTAATTCCTTATCTCATACACACACACACACACACACACACACACACACACACCCCTCCCTCCCTTAGGGTTTTATTGAGTTACATACCAGTAATATATAAGTACTTTAAAAAAATGTAATAGAAGAATACATAAAATAAAAAGTACAATTTCTAGCTAGATATGGTACTTCATAACTGTAATCTCAGCATACCAGAGACTGAGGCAGAGGAATGTCAAGAATTCAAAGCCAGCACAAATTACCAGTGAGTTCCAGGACAGCTGGGCTACAGAGTACTTTGTTAAAAAAAAAAAAAAAAAAAAAGAGGAGGAGGAGAAAGTTTGAACCAGGAATAGTGGTACATGCCTGAAACCTCAGTATTTAGTAGGCAGATGTAGGAAGATAAAGGTTTTGAGGCCATGCTGGTCAGTATAGTAAGACTGTCCTGAAAAGTCAAAACAACAGCAGCAACAATAAAACCCAAAGAAACTAACAGTTCAGTAGGTATAAATGGATTCTATAAATGGATTACAGTTCTATGTCTTGTTTTTCCATTTAAAATGTTAGTGAATACAGACAGCACCTTCATCTTTTCTATTACTTTTTTACCACTTGCAGGATATAAATTTATTCCTCTCACAACAGACAAAGCAACAATGACTGTCTGAGGAATATCTCTTAATATTTACATGAGTGTCTTCAGAGATCTCTTAAGTCATTAAGCCATTTCATACATATGCTAAGGTTATTGTGATGCTGCCAGACTATTCTCTGGAAAGGATGGAGCAATTATGTAACAATGTGTGAAAGGAAGCACTTCTCTATACCCTTATCAATACCTGGTAATATCAAACTTTTACATTTTTCAGCGTAGTAGGCAAAAATGTTACTATTTTATTTTTCTACAACTATAAACCAAACACACACACACACACACAATTGAATGTGCGCACACAAATGCAAGCAGCTGACAGTGTATTTGGCTAAGATATAAGAAGGGAAAACAAAATAAAAATCTATGAAAATAAGTTACTTTAAGAACTTTGTATTTTCTTATTATGTTTGCTGTTTTTGTGGTTCTGGGGAATCAAACCAAGAGCCTTACACATACAGGGCAAATGCTCTACCATTGAGATACATCCCCAATTTCATCAGTGTTTTTAAACAACTATACATATTATGTGTATCTGAGATAAGAAACAGGGAAGGGATTCGCCGGGCATCAGTGGCACACACTTTTAATTCTAGCACTTTGGAGGCAGAGGCAAGCAGATCTCTGTGAGTTCGAGGCCAACCTGGTCTACAGAGCTGTTTCATGACAGGCTCCAAAGCCACAGAGAAACCCTGTCTCAAAACCACCCCCCAAAAAGGAAAAAAAAAAAAAAAAAAAACAGGGAAGGTAAGGGAACTAAGAGGTGGTTCATTTGTTAAAGTGCTTGTTATGTAAGCATGAGGGCCTGGATTTGTATCTCCAGCACTCCCATAAAATATGGGTACAATGGTGTACATTGGCAACTCCAGAGTTGGGGCAGAAGCAAAGGTGACACAGGGAAGATAGACAGATCCTGGGCCTCACTGGCTAGTCTAAGAGAAAGAATGAGCTCCAGGTGCAATGAGAACTCTTATCTTAAAAATAACATAGGGCTGGAGAGATAGATGGCTCAGTGATTAAGATGCTTGCCCTGCAGGTGTGAGGACCAGAGTTCAGATGCCCAGAACACATGTAAATGCCAGGTAGGCATAGCAGCTTGCCTATAATCACAGAGCTTAGAAGGTAGATGCAGAGACTAACTGTATCTGAAAGCTCTGAGTTCAACTGAGAGACCTTGCCTCAATGAATAAAGGGAAGTAAGACTAAGAAACACTTCTTATGTCAACTTTGGGCTTCTACATGCATACAAATATACACACATGCAAACATGCACATACACATGTATGCACAACAAACACAATACTCATGAAAAATTAAAATTAAAAGATGAAGAGCAATTATTAGAGACACTGCACACCAATTTCTGTACATACATACCGACTACACCCATGTGCACATACACATATAACACATACACACACAATGAAGAGGCAGAACTATAGGTAACAGGAAAAGGGTCCATCAGGAAAGGATGTGGGAAGAAGAACAGATAGTTATTGCCTAAGTGAACTTCTTTTATAGATTTAAGGAAATAGACACAGAAGCAAACTTATAGGAGAGGAGGAGACTTTAATCTTTTTGTTCTCAACCTTGTACACTTTTCATAGAAGGCTAGATCACACTGGAAAAAATATAAGAAAGAAAACTGAGGAACAGAAAGACTGAAAGTAGGAGAAAGATGTATTAGCTTATTAGAAACTGAATGAAGATTGATGAGGTCTTAAAAAGCTTTTTAAACAATGCCAAGGCAAAAGAATGCCTGTATGCCAAATTGCCAGGGACACATCAAGTGGCTAAGTGATCTAAGCCCTCCAGAATTCAAATTTTCTCTGTAGACGCTTTCCCTGGTGCTAGAGAAAAAGAGATGGGAAATGTTAAATGATATTAATGTCCCTAATGAGTTTATCAGATTGGGAACCAGGATTTGTGCTTAAATAATTATTTTATATTTCTATTTTAATGTATGCATATGCTATGATGACCATTTATCAGTACATCTCTACTATTAAGATAAATTAACTGTTTACTGATCTTGGAGCTTCTCTCAGAAACTAAATCTAGAAAGTTTTCACGAAAAGATGAACTTTTCTGAATGCCTGATAGTCTCTCTAAATATTTTTAGTGGTCTCAAGTGACTGAAAATGACAATTACGATATAAACTGAATACAGTCTTCTTGACTAGACATCACATACATATGTGGCTGAAAGTTGGGAAGCCAGTATCTCAATCAGGAATAGTGGATCAGAGGGAAGGCAAATTAATCCTAAGTTTTAATAATTAAATTCCTCATTTCCTATTGCTTTACATAGTTTTTCAACAAGACACTTTGTCTTATATAAAGGAAGTAAAAAATAAGAGTACAGATCAGAATAATCTATCAAATCTTTAAGGCTTCCTCCTACTTCCATCTACACTAACTGATTGATAGTCTTCACCTAGTTCAAAGAAATAACTTAAGTCCTGTCATTTGCCTTACTTCAGAGCTGAAGGAAGAGCCTCCCTGGGAGAGGGCATGAGAAAGGATGGGTGTTCTGGACAAGGACTCCTGCTTTCTAAACCTCCTTACAGTTATTTCACCTTGTCGTCAAAACTCTATCCTGAAGGAAAAAAAAAATCTCAAAAGCAATGAGCCCTTCATGCTGGTTCCTATTATCTGGAAGTCTCAGATATCCTTCCTGAGTGGGTTTATTGATACTTCTTCAGCCTGTCCTAAAGTTCCCCATAAATGTCAGTGATAGTCTCACTGTATGTGATGTCTATAAAAAGGGAAAACTCTACAAACTCAGTAAGAAAGGTAGATAGACAGAACAGTGAAAATGGATAGAATTTGGAAGCTGCTTTCTAGATAGCATCTACTAAACTATCAAACCTTACTCCAAACAAAATCTTAGTGTGGAATCTTAGAGGCTAATTATACAAGGTGGAACTACTTCAGAGAAAACTATGCCACTTCCTCTTTGAAGTGCATACTTACTAGGGCACTGAGTATTTTCAGGAAAATGTTACATGAGGGACTTGGCCCTTAACACAAAAAAAGTTATAAAAGGAGCTTCCTCTCTTTGGTCAACTGGTTCCCAATTTGCTAAAAGAATTAACACCTCATAAGGGAATGAGCACAATCCTCTATCTGGTTATGGCTACATTAGGGTACAAATGCTATTACTTAAACACAACATTGTCTATAATTTGGAAACATTGGTGATTAATTTATGTATGGTCTGAACACATTAGTGAATACCTATGGGTGACCTTATTTTACAGTGAAGAAGGGGAGCTCTAGGGGAGAAGAGTCATAATGTCAAGTTTTGAAATTTTGCTTGTTCCAGTACTATCTGTTTTCTGCTAAACACATTTCCTTTATGATTGCTCAAGACCTTTCAGATAATTTATTTGAGACAGGGTCTCTCTATATAACCTTAGTTGCCTGCCTCTACCCCCTAAGTACTGGGATTAAAGGCATTGCTACCATACCCAGTGATGATGGAGTTCATTTCTACCTGAGTTATTCCCATATTTAACAGAACAGTTCTCTTATGGTCCCTACCGGGATAAATAATTTACATCTTAAAGAGTTAAATCTTATCCCATGATATATTCTATATACTCCTGTATTTAATATTTCCTAGCTATTTAGACCCAAGAGGTATGTAGACTGGCACTTTACACATACATAATTGAACACATAAAATTTGAAGAAGCTTCTACTTAAAACAATAAACACTCAATGTATCTGACATGGACTAGAAGCTATAAACTCATTGCTAGCTGAAATACAGGAAACCAGGTTTTATTTCTTTTTACTAATTACAGGTAGCTTTAAAAGAACAAGAAAAATCACAGCTAGAAAGCATCATGGCTCAATAAAAATGTATTCTAGAAAAGTAGGTCTTCTTCAATGACAAGATCTCACAAGTCCATGTCTCATATATGACTGAAAAAGTCTGTTTATTAATAAAACAACAGTGCATTTCTCAGGCTATGAAAAATATCAAGCAGTTTAGAAACACAGCAGATGTGAACTCTGTACTACATTCCATCAACAACATTCTCAGTAAAGTCATTCTCATGACCTAGTTAGAAACCTAACTTCCTTGGGTTTTACACTGGGGTATTGAGAATGTTCAAGAAAACATTAAGTAAAGTCTTCCTTTTGGGCTACAACCCAGTAGTGGAGTGCTTGCCTCCAGTATGCAGTGTCCTTGGCTTAAATCACTAGCAGCACAAAAAACAGATACTCCAATCTTGCTTGAACCAGAATTCCCGTCTTCCCACATGGCTCCAGAGAAAAGCAGCCA